GGCAAAAACAGACATGATAAAAAAATATATCTCATTTTGGAAAAGGGAACATAAAGGAGTTTTTTAAAAATACCCAATGAAAAAAGCACCTTTAAGGGCTTATAGAAATCGAAAATAAGCACCCTTAAATACTTTTTAAAAAACGGTACCTACCCTGTATAGAGTATCTATGAAGCACAAGATAAATGCTTTGAATTTAATAAAATCTAGAGATTATACAAAAGTTGGGAAAAAATGGAGAATCTTCTAGACTTAATGATACACAAAGAAATAGCTCATCATTATAATAAATATACGGTTAAATAAGCTTCATCAGCAAACATACATCATGCTGAAATAATGAAAACATTACATAACAGTCTTTTTAAAGGTATTTTAGTCCCTTTTTTAAACAAAAAGTTTTGAATCATCCAAGTTTTTCTATTTCAACCTGAGAATCAGGAATATGCCATATTTTCAAAGGGGAAAAAAAGAATCTTCGTGTAAAATATAATTTTAATTGCGGGGATGGAAACATATAGTGATACTTTTTTTAAGTGACAGAGTTACTTTGTTATAACAGATATAATTTGATAACATTTTCCCACAATAAAATATAATGCAATGGGAAAGCAATAATACACTGATATTTCAAAAATTACATTTCTTCTCTTGAAAAATAAAATAAACTTCCATTTTTTTTAATTTCATAAATTAAGAATAACAGTTAAAAGCGTTAAAAAAATATTTATTTTCAAAATCAAAATAAATAACTACAGATAATAATAACTATGAAGAAGAAAAAAAATCGCTGCAATTGCGAAGAAGTCACTAAAAATAAATGCGTGTTCATTCCAAAATAAGGAAATTATACAACCTTTGGAAACTTAACTTAGTGGCATAACAGCCTAAGGAGGGCAATGCTATACTGTGCCCTTTCCAGTTATCGTGACCTTGAAGTCTGGGGTGCAGGAAAGTAGCCAAACATGGAACTCCGAGTGTTTAGTTCCCAAGCACACTAGGTACTCATTTTATGAACCCACTGAAGGAATGAAACGCTGAATCAACCTTGTGCATTTATAGGATAGAAACCAGAACCAGTGGCGTGTGAGTGCCAAGCATTACCCCGCTCATCGAATGGGTCGGAAACGGATAGACGAGAAACACAAAATCAATTACTGGGAATAAAGCCAGATTTTTCAACAATAAATAAGTACTCAAAAATATCTTTGTTCACTTTCCAAAAAAAATAAAAAATATTTAGGATCTGAGCAGCAATGAAAATAATTTTTTTTATATTTGTTAAAGTTCTTAATTTATAAACATAAAATCAATAAAATTCAAGCACTTTACATAACCATGATAAAATAACTAGTTTCTGACAAATATTGCAGAGAAAATTGTGAAAATCATGCATGTTTTGAAATTTAGAATGACAATCAACATGGCAAAGAAAAAATCTCTTTTTAAAAGCTAGAAAATTAAGCACTTTTTATAAGCCCCGAATAAATAAAAACACACCTTTAAGGGCTTTTAAAAAACGTAAATCAAAAATAAGCACCTTAAGTACTTTTTAAAAACGCTAAGCACAATGAATTAATAAAAATAAACAAAAAAATTTAAGTTCAATAAACAAAAATTATTTAAAAGGATGCCACACAGAAAAAACAAACATAAGAGCATTAAAAAGGTGGGGGTATTTTGAAAAGTACTTCTCACAAGAAACAAAGCACCATATAATACTTCATATCAAACATGTCACTGACTAGAAGATATATTTCGAAAAATTCACACACAACATGCAGCCAAAAGCATTACATATATATTTATATACAAATTGTCTTAACAATTCTTATAAATTCAAAAATTTTAACAATAAAAGAATCTGGTCAGGATTAGCAAGATTTTGCCTTCAATAAATATCAAAAGGTATACACTAAAGGCCTAAAGTTTTTTTATTAAAGGCCTAACACCAAAAGGTTCTCAGTACGTATCATTCGTGCAAGCAACTTATTCAATAATTTTAAATCCAAGAGATCTTTTATTAATACCTAACTTTTGCACAGCTTAAGTATTTTTAACTTTATAAAGTTTAGTGTTTAAATCAAAATTTTAAACAACAAATAACCAATATCAATTAAAATAAATGCGACCATCTAATCATAAAACAAATAGATACCTTAAAATAAAACATTTCACTGGACAACCAGTAATAATCAATGATTTAACGCATCTTTTTTGTATAATTTTTCAAAGTCAAATTTCATATAGTTTTGATATGATTTTGATCTTTTTAAATAAAAAAAATAGATGACTTATTTAACCCTCAGACCGTTCTGCACGCAAAAAGTAGTATTTTAACCTGCAGTGTTTCCTGCATAGCAAACCCGGTTTTTCCATGTTATTAGAGAGAGAAATAGTATATGGGGAGAAACATTCTCCCAATTTTGCTGTCAGTGGGTTAAAGAAACCATATAGAGACTGTAATTCTTTATTCTACTAACTCTACTAATTTTTAAATAAATATTACCCAATAAATAAATCTTTAATAATATGAGTTCTTATTCTTGAGCAACGAGAATACGCTAGGTAATAAATTTTTAATAATAATTTTAAATAACAGTTCTTATTCTTGATCAACAAGAAAAGACCAGGTAATAAATTTTTAATAATACGAGTTCTTATTTTTGAGCAACAATAATTGGCTAGGTAATCATTAAATTAAACATAAATTATATTTAAATAATTTTTGTTTAGTATTTGAAGTGTGGATTTTCATTTTGCTGTGCAAAAATTATTTCTTTTCAATATTGTAACATAAAAATATGTAATAAAAATGCAAATATTTTTAAGATTTGAGTAAAGATTCTTTGACTGGCTATTTTTATGGCAGGTTTCTTTGGTTTCAAATCTTTTATTGCAATCCTTATTTTATTTTATAACAAATTAGCAATTATCCAGCAAAATTACCAACCCTGAACGAGAGTAACAAAATACTATTCAAAGATAGGGGTAAATATATATATATATAAAGGAATGCACATAGATATATTTATCATCAATCACTCAATGTTTGCAGCATGATCAACCAGAATAGATATTTATATGACAATCAAAAACTTAATTTGGCACAGCAAACAAAAAGGAATAATCGAAGCGTATTTGGAAAAAGAACACCGACTGCAAAAAGCTTCACAAACTTCCTCACAAAAGGCTGTTTATTTGTTTTTGAAGGCAATTGTTATAAGATAAGAGGGTTTTTTTTCTTCTTTTATCCAAAAGTGACAGTGGATGAATGAAATAAAAATTAATATTTCATGACTAAAAGTTTTGATTTCAAAGACACAGAAATAGAATGCAAGTTGTTTCAATAGTAGATTTATGCAGCAAAGAAATTCATACAATATTAGTTTATATTCAAAATCTAAAAAGGTTACAGCAGAAGTTTATTTTGTTTAGATAAACTCTGAGTTGGGACAAGTAAGTCAAAAAACTAAATTGTCGGTTATTCAGGGCAAGTTTTCACATTTTTTTTAAGCATATAAACATAAAATGTAGACAAAATCATCCAAAAAAATTAGATAATTAAAATTGTAACATTGGATAATTAAAATTGTATTTTGTACTAAATTATCATAATTTCTTATTTATAAGCTGGATTTATATTCAGTATTTTGAATGCTGTTGTAATGTTGTTGATGTGCAATTAGTTTCACATTAAAATGATCTGAAACTTAAATTATAATTCATACTAAAACTGAGTCTAAGGTGTAGTGTTTTTTTTTAAATAACACAGTTTTACGCAATTTTTTATATTTTTAAAAAAATTAATTTTCCCAAACCTGATTTAAACTGCCCTAAAATTAAACAGTTAAAAAAAAAACAATGAAATAATGTGTAGCCTCACTCTCAACAATTCTGATAAAAAATTTCTAAAAAAAAAAAAAAAAAAANAGATTAAAAAAATTGCAACATAACTCAAAATGATGAGAAAAGAATATATAAATGCATCGTAGGCTAATTAAAATATCCAGCTCTTTGCAAATGTTTCTAACATTTTGCAATGCACCTGGCTAATTCCATATCTCTTTAATAATTCTTAATTTGCCTAAAATGTATTAAGTTTAATCATAATCAGCCTATATGCTTTTAGGCTAATTAGAAAATGTGCAATACTCAGACTGAATTTTCTTAGGCTTATTGTAATAAACCCTTATGAAAGCTATTTACAATAAGCCTTTACTACTTCAGGTTTATTACAAACTGCCTGAAATAAATCAGGGTAATTGAACAATGAATGAGGAATTTTCTAAATACTCCAAAGGTATGCGAGCTCAATTCAATGAACCTAAAATGCGGTAGGCTAATTGTTAGAAAAAAATAGCCTTTTTATATTAGATTGGTTTACAGCAAAACACCAACGGTTATAGGACAGAATTAACTGTTGCCAATGGCCTCAAAAAGACTGAATATAGCAAATGGCGATAAAAAAAATTCTGTCTATAATCACTTTTTTTAAAATCTAAAATGCCCCCCATGTGTATTTTATTATAATTATAAATATTTATTTTTAATAAATATGGAATTATTATGAATATTTACTATGAAAATTTTATTATTTCACATTGGTGTATTAAAATGTTTTGTCATTTTGAAGACGAATCTTACAATGTTTAATATGTTTTGAGAAATGCTTCAAATTTAGACTTACATTATCAACAGTTTGTTTTTAATGTACAGTATACTAGCGATATCTCAAAGCTGAAGGGACACTAAAAAAAATTTCAAGATAGCAAGTTTTTGAGATAGGTTCAGAATTAAACATGTTCTAAAAAGTAGAAAAATATATTCTAAAAAGTATGGAAACATAAGAATAACTAGTGATAATTATGGACTATATTATTTAATTAGTTGACTATAAGTCTAAATACAACAATGATCATTGTATTTTAAAAGTAAGACAAAAATAATTATGCATTAAATAGAAAATAGATCGGTATATAGTAAACTTACATTGAAAATTTTACGAAAAAATTCTTTTTAAAAAAAAAATTCCACTTGTGAAGAAAGTCTTCAACATAGGAATTTAAATAAACATAAGGTGGATATATAACACCAAAGGGTAAAATATTTTTTTGATATAATAAGATTTTTGAGATATCGAGAGTATACTGTTTTGCGATTTTTGAGATATCGAGAGTATACTATTTTGCGATTTTTGAGATATCGAGAGTATACTGTTTTGCGATTTTTGAGATATCGAGAGTATACTGTTTTGCAATTTTTGAGATATCGAGAGTATACTGTTTTGCGACTTTTGAAAAGTGGTCTGCAACAACAGGCCAGTAGGAGAATTTCTTAATTTTGCTCTATACTGGCTTGCAAAGAGATCCGATTATTTAATTAGACTAGGACACATGCATGCAACAATACTCAAAGAATTTCAGCCAATTGTATTCATCCACTATCACTTCTGTTTTAAGCTCGGGTCGTACACTTAGAAGCTGACTTTACCACGGGATTTAAAAAAACCCAATTCATTAGCATTGTGAAGTGCGGCGGCCAGGCCTGCATAGCTCTCAATGATGATTGGCTGATAGAGGACTTTGCAAAGGGGGGTGGAGGGTGATGCCATTGGGGTAGCAGAATTACTACCCTCTGAAAGAGTGTTGACCAGAGTTTTGGAAAAATCTTCTATGTTGTAATTCGTCTTCTCGGCCGTATCCATTTTGAAAAGAGGATGCGAAGTATAAGTGGCCCACGGAATTTCTCGGCTCCAGGGGTTCCAGCGTTTCAAGGCGGGGATCTGTTCCAGACTACCCCAGGAACACTGCACACCAAGTTCGTTTCTGGCACTAAAAATAAACACACAACTTGTTGAAAATGATTTTTTGATTAGAAATTAATATTTTACAACTTTTTAAAATAATAATTAGAACATATAGTGGCTAAAACTTCATTACATTACAATGATCTTTTTTTTTTTTGAGAAAGAGCATAATATATATATATACACTGAAGAGCCAAAAAAACTGGTATACCTGCCTAATATCGTGTAGGGTCCCCGCGAGCACTCAGAAGTGCCGCAACACGACGTGGCATGGATTCGATCAATATGTGAAGTAGTACTGGAGATAATTGACACCATGAATCCTGCAGGGCTGTCCATAAACCAGTGGGAGTAAGAGGGGTTGGCGATATCTTCTGAACATGACGTTGCAAGGCATCCCAAATATGTTCAATAATGTTCGTGTCTGGGGATTTTGGTGGATTTCCGATACTCACGGTATACTCGCGAAATGGTCGTACGCGAAAATCCAAATTTAATTGCTATCTCGGAGATGCTATGTCCCATCGCCTGTGCGCCGACTATAACACCACGTTCAAGCTCACTTAAATCTGTATAACCTGGCATTGTAGCAGCAGTAACCGATCTAAGAACTGTGCTAGATACTCATTGTCTTATATACGCGCTGCCGATCGCAGCGCTGTACTTTGATTGGTTTCATACCCCTTTATTTGCATACTCATGCCTGTACCAGTTTTTTTGGCTCTTCAGTGTGTAATTATANTGCCTTCCAAATGCTATCTGCGTGACTGTACACTCAACCATGACTGTCACCCTTATATATATATATATATATATAAGGGTGACAGTCATGGTTGAGTGTACAGTCATGCAGATAGCATTTGGAAGGCAAAAATATTTTATTTAGCTTCACATTGCATGTTCAAAACACTTTTGATCATTGGCGAAGCCCAAATTCGCAGACCAAAAACGGTCTGCTCTTTAGTTTTTATCCTAGGGAAAGTAGCAAATGAATTTCCCTCTATTTTATTATATCTTAGGGAAAAAGGAAAACATTAATAATTACTATTGGTTTATTAAATAGGTTGTGCGAATCCCACAAAAAGTAAAAGGAAAAACGTCTTACTTTTAATTAATGCATGCTTGAGACAAAAATAGATTAAGGACAGGATGTGAATTTAAAAGTGTGAGAAAGTGTTTCGATTAGAATAACAAATTAAGGAAAGGATTTACAAAAAAGAAATAACATAAAGTGATTAATTGTAGCTTTTTATGTGAAATATATATTTTAGTAAAATTATCCAGTTTAAGGAGAATAATCTTTCCAACTAAACCAATTCTTGTAATTTCTAAGGCAATTTATCCTACCCTAAACTAAAGAGAATAGTATAGCTTCCTTAATGCCTAATTAACACAGAGAAATATTTAGCTATGATATACTAGAGAAACTGGAGAAGGAGATTTAACTTTGAACTGTACAAGATTGATGAACAACCCGATATTATTATATACATAAAAATAAATAGAATTAATTGGATGGCCTATGAGATTCGAATGAGTGATGACAATAGAATAAAAAAGATATTGCTTTTTAGACCCACTGAACAAGATAGCGGAGAAGGCCGCGATAGTGACGGGCTGATTCGGTGGAGTCTGATTTTCTTGCAATTAATGAAAAAAATTAGAGATCCAAGATAAATCGGAAGTCGTTATAGAGAAATCTTCAGAAAAAGGCATTGACCCACTTTGGGCTGCCTGGTCAACTATGATGATGATAAGGATACTAGAAAAACTACTATAGAGAAAGCAACAAACTCAGAGTTCAGATAAACTAATAGAGAATGTAAGCAACTGGTAAGTCTGCTTTTTTGTTGTAAAAAGATCCCCTTTTCAGACTTTTTGCACTCTAGCTTATCTACTTAGCAGGAACCTTTCATAATTGACTTATTCGGGTGAAAGATTTTATGTAAATAGAAACTTGAGTATAAGGGATTGCATATCAAAACTGTTTTTCACTTCAAATATGAGGCAGTACATTCACTGTGTTTTTGTTTCAAGACTATAGAACAAGAGTTTAAAATTATTTGATTAAGGAAGCTTTAAGCTCAATTATAAATTTTAACTAAATGTTAGAATGTGGGAATATTATAATAAGTTATACTGTTTTTTTTTTTTTNTTTTTTTTTTTTTTTTTTTTTTAATGCTACGATAATATAAGAATTTTCAATTTATTGATTTCAAACTATGAGTTGTTCAGTTCTCTGTTAATAATTAACAATTCTTCTTTCTATTCTAAATAAAGTAATCCTCAAATTAAAAACAGTATATTTCGTTATTTTTTTGTTGACTTAAGTAGGGAAAATGACTCTTTCTTTAATGTTGCTGTTTATCTTCTTTCTTTTTCTGTAAATTATTCAATTAAACTTCAAGATTTTTTTGGAAAAATATCGTCCTGATTTTTTCTTTTTATTGACATTTGATTAAAAATAAATATTTTTTAAAAAATTGACATCCATTCATAATTCTTAAAAGTTTCAATTATCAGCCAAAATGTAACATTTTACTTTTCGCACAACATATGAAACAATGAGTCATTATATTTTTAATAATTAATCTATATTGTCAGAGTAAAATATAATTTTACTTTTTGAAATACAAGGTATCATGTAAGATAAATTTTGCTTTTTTGTCACAATAACAATGCTTCAACTAAAAAGTATATTTTATTCTACTCATTAACAAATCAGATACTGTTTGTTCAACAAGATTTGAAAACTACTTTGTTTTTCATGACCTGTAAAAATGGGATTATTTTGTTGAGTTTTATATTTAAAATGCTTTAGATTGTGTTTTTATATATATAATTTTTTAATGCACATCAAACTAAAATATTTGAAAAAACATCCGGAATTAAATCTCCTAAATTTAAATATTTCTAAAATAATTTTTTCCCACTCAGTTTTTAATAAATTAAATATATTTTATAAAAACACAAAATGATGTTCTACTCCTTTATACGAAAATAATTTCAAAGGCAGAAGGCAACAATAACATTGGATCAATAATAAAAATTTGCTTAACTACAGTTAAAAAGTTATTTCTTAAATTAATTTTTGTGGCAATATTAATTTATAACATTTATAGTAAACAATAAAATTTTATTTTTAATGAATCTCATAATGAATGCGCTTATATTTTAGCCACCATCATTTAAAAACACACACATACATGCAACAATGAATGCATTAAATATGTACTAGTATTGACTAATTAAATACTACTCATAAATACAAATTTTGCAAGCATAGTACAAAAAAAAGCAAAAAATAGAGTAATGGGTATAATGCATAAATAATCATTAAGCTATTAAAAATGAACATTTTTCTTTTCATTTTCAACTTGACTTTAACAATAAATGAAGAATTTAAAAAAACCTGACTATAATAATTTAAGAATGAATTTTAGTCAGATAAACAAAGTAAGTTTTAATAAAGTTCTTATAAATTTAATATGCAGATGTTAGGTGATTTCCCACAATCTTATAAATTATATCACAGTACTGGAATTTAAATCAATTATTGTACTTTATAGTTCCTTAGATTTGGCAAAAAAAACTTAATTCATTGAGTAATATTATAGTTAAAAGTTCAGATGTTCAGGAAAATGTGTGATTTTTATTTTCCAATTTAAACCAATTTCAAAGTTAATTAATCTATTTCAGTTAAAAAGAAATAATAAACACAGCAAAGAAAACAGAAATTTCTATTTATATATTTGTAAATATCTAAAAATTAGAAAACATTTAAAAAAATTTCGTAAGAAAAAAAATTCTTAAAACATTTCTTAAATCTTCTCATTTCTAGACTTTTTTTGTTTGTTTTTGTTTACTAAGGTAATGTGTGTGTAAACACAAACCAACAATAAATCAAGGTGCAACAAACGTGTATTGGCGGGATTAGTTCTACTTTAATAAATTCCCTTTTTGCAACATTCAACAACCAATCTAATCACCCGGATGCTATTCCTCAACTATTTTCTATGCTTTAAAAATTAAAATGCTTTTTTACATTCAGCTTACCAAGCAATAGCTTTGCAAAGAAAAAAGAGTTACAAATGGTTATTGTTTATAAGCATAATTAGAGCAAAAGCACATGAAGTAAATGACTTAATAGTTAGTGTAGCATTAGTACAACATTAACAAGGAAACCCCAATTCAGTTAACGTTTTCGTGCTTAATGTTTCAGTAATGTTCAATTAATGTGAGTCAGCTAGCATTTCATTTTTCCAGTTAGTGAATTAAAGTATTGAATTAGAAACATTATATTGTTCGGAAGGCATTTTGTTGGATAGTATGATATGACTGGAGTTACCTTAAAGGTAATACCGCTTTTTCTTTCCATAGTATTCATTTTAAGTTAAATTTGGAATAGCAAGTCTTTGTTTTAAAATAAAATGTATGCGTTGTTGTCGTTCCATTTATATGGAATTATGCAACTTCAGTGGCCAGGATAGCCTGCCTGTTCGGCAGGGTGCTGGACTAACATTCGCGAAAAGGGGAGTTTGAATTCAGCTGGCCAATGACTCCCCATGCAGTGAATGGTGACTGGTACATGCTAAATCTGTCAGGTCACAAAGTCCTCCCTGTTCCCATAACAAATTATAACTCTGGGGGTAATGAATTAGAGATTGATCGTTCTCTGGTTAATGTTAAAATTATGATCTATAGATGAATGGATAAATGGATTGATGGATCCGTTTTCTAAACGGGTGTGACAGAAGTCAAATTCTTGTCCACAGATGGCGCCACTGAAAAAACAAGAACAATCGCACCCCTTGCCTTAATGGCTTGCAACAACAACATGCTACTTCAGTGGAATTGTATTTAATTAACGTTCATAAGAATTACCATTCCCCAGACATAGTGAAAGAAAGAGACTTGAATTGAAATTAGTGAATGAAATTGATTGGCTTGAAGTAAAGTTTAAAAGTTATCATTTTTTTTTAACAAGAATAGCTGTACAAAATTTTAGATACCTAACTTCTTAATATCTTCAGCTGCCTCAATGGCACCTAAGTTTAGATTGGTCCATTGAGGTGGCAAACAATATGGAATCTGATACGATATCGCTCTCAGCGCATTTAAGGCCAAGCATAGGATTTTTATTAAATGTTGTATTATTTTTGTTAACATTTGCTTAAATTACATTCATTAAAACACAAGAACACGCATGAAAAATAATATTTAATTGAAGAAATAAAATGGTGCATACAGGCACCATTAGGCAAATCAACAGACAAATCACTTACATTACTTTAGCTTTCTTGAACATTAGCTTTTTTATGACATTTGTTTTACTTTTTATTTTATTTGCAGAACTTGCAACTTTAATCCATCATAAAAACACATGATTAAACTTAAGTGGAATAATTATACATTTTCAAATATTCGAATTTTACAATAACAATTTTATTTGCACAAACTAGCGTAGTTTGAAAATGTTTCAATCGAAAGTGTTTACTCCAATTGAATTACTAAAACATTAGAGATCTCTTCAGAACGCTTAAAAATAGAAGAAAAATAAAATGAGTGAAAATATAAGTCTCAGGGCTAATAAAAAATATTGTTTGAAGTGGTACGTTTATGCGCATTTGGCCGAAAATGGGTAAATAAAGTCAGTTGACAATATTCTAGCATCACCACTAAAAATTAAAAATACTTTGACTTATACGGCCCAACTTAATAAGTATCTTCTTTATGTAAATTCTACATTGTTATCAAGAAAATAAGATAAACTTTTACAATTAGAATCAAATGAAACAAGCTAATTATTTTAAAATATAATAGACATTTGTAATGATTTAAAATTTAGGATCACTATGTTATGCAGATTTAGGAAGAGATCTGCTGAAGCATTACATGGTTTCTGAGAGTGAGAATTGTTATTTAACCAGTAATGATTTTTGAACTCTCTAACTATATTTAGACCCAATCAATAACTCGATTTTTATTAAAAATTGTGGTTGCTTTTGTGAAATTATTTAAAATAAAATTTCAGTGGGGAAAAAAACAATAAAATTTTTAAAAAATATAACTTTCCTAATAATTTAAAAAATTATGGAGAGGTTATGCAGTTTTTTCCTAGTAATCATTTTCAACCTTTAAGTTTTTTCCTCCCTTTTAATATCGAAGAAAACAGTAATTTTGCTAATCTTATTAGTTTTCAACCAATACAAATAATAGAATGAAATTCAGAACTAGACTAAATGCTTCTTCAAAGCTGCAAATTAAATTGCTGAACAAGAAACATAATTTTAATGTTATTATTAATAAAGTGATAAAAAAATTTTTTTAACTTCTCAGTATATATTTTCAAAATAGTGGGTAATTACTCAAAATGGTTAGTTTAGTTGTTTAATACGTTCACAATTGCCTTTATACGCATTCTTTATAGTGTCAGGGTACCACAGAAAGAAAATAGATCAGAACTGAAAAAAACTGGAATCTGCTACAGGGTTCACACTCAATTGGGGGGAAAAATTCCCTGACTTTTCCAGGTATAGCAGGTAAATTTCAATGAAAATTGAGACCATATTTTCATCAGAAAACTTTGATTCTTTTATTTGTTACGTGAAATAGATTTTCTGTGCAAAAAATATTATTAAATGAGGATGGAAACATTTCAGTTTCAATAATTGTAATAGATGTAAGAATTATTTAACTCTAATCTCAATAACTGATTACTGTTACTGACAATTTTAAGAATGGTTATTTTCCAGGTATGACATACATAGGAAATATTGCAAATTTTTGTTAAAAAAAAAAAAAAAAAAAAAAAAAAAAAAAAAAAAAAAAAAAAAAAAANTTTTTGGAGTTAAAATAAAATTCCCTGACAATTCCAGGTTTTCCCTGACCCTGCTGCTATTCTAGATCAACGTTCCCTCAACAACTTTATACGCAAAACTGCAATAAGTAACTGTAATGTGTAGTAAATAAAAAATAAAGCCAAAACAGTAAAGTCAGTGAAATAAAGAAAGGAAAAGAAGAAAGAAACACACAGAAAAGAAAAGAAAGAAGGAAGAGAGAGGGAAGCTGAAAGCAACACCTACACAGCCGATCTGGGTCTACTGGCAACGACTGTCATCTTGGCAGGGTTTTGCTCAACAGGTTGTCTGAAATTGCGGCCCACTCTTAACTTGGGTATAATTCTTTGCTTTAAAAAGTCCATTGCTCCATTTATCTTCCTTCAGAGGAAAGAAGAGGCAGCACAAAGGAGATTAACACATAAAGCACTTATTAACACAAAGTCTCAACAATTTGTTTAAAAACACACAGAGGACACACAATTGTTTCTGAACAACACACAGCCCCTGAATTTACATGCTTCTTTTTAAAGAAAAATTTACTTGAGGAGCCTTCCTATTAATACATTTTCAAATCAGGGTGCATAGCCAAATTATTCACCAAAAAATAAGCACTTTTCAAGCACTCAAAAAATATTTTTAAGCACTTTAAAAAAAATATCACAATTAGGCAGGTTTGGAAAGTTTTATCTTGTTTTTACAGTCATGTAAAAAAAAAATTTCACTGTTTTTAACGATCGTTAAAAATCATGAAATTTTGAATCACGTAAAACGAATGGCATTTTCATACTCTACGGACAGACAATACGCCAAAATAGATTGGGGTGGAATTAAGTGTGAAAACGTTGAATAGAACAATGTGAACTGTGTTTTGCATAATTCATAACGAAAATCAACATGGTAAAGGAAAAATTTCACCTTGAAAAAGTTAAAATTAAGCAATTTTTTAAAAACATCCAATAAAAAAAGCACCGTTAAGGGCTTTTAAAAAAACAAAAATCGAAAATAAGCACTTTTTAAAAATGCTACGCACCCTGTCAAATTCTTATAATAATGAATCCTAACATTCTCTCTCTCCAACGTTACTCAAGGCGTGCCTCTTTTTATGAACAAATAAATTTAAGAATCTTGGTATAGTTCGTTCCCCAAAAGTTGGCACTTAGCTCCATCTCCTTGGACAAAGAGTTCATTTCAGAGCGGGAATAAGAGGAGAAACGTCTCCACGCTTGAAATTGAGACAATCCTTCCTTAATGCTTGCCAAACGCAAATAGTGAATTATTTTTTAATCACTTACTTTACTTTATCATCTGCTATTATACCTTTTGTTACTCTAGCTCAGTGATTCTCAAGAGACAAACTATTCACTCAAAAGAGAGAAATATCATCAACATATAATGTTAAAAATATTCAATGTTAAAAAATTAACATAAAGATTGCAAAATAAATATTTTTGTCATACGATCGTCAAATAGCAACCTTGTTCAGAATTGTTCACATCCTTCTCCCAAAAATAGCAAATTAGTATAGTCGGATACCACGTGATGAAGGCTGAGCCAAGTGCCAACTCCTGGTGAACGAACAATAATTATATCCATGCATGGCTTGCGTAGCCTATATTATCTAACTGTGATAGTCTGTCAACTTTGACCAGTGCTATTACTTTCTATATTAGAAAAAATAACATTTTCAAACAACTAGCATTTCTTATGCGTTTGTATGCATTTTTAGTTAAAATGACAATAACAAACCTATAGATTAATAACTCGTAACAATTTTATGCCATGGAGGCTTTTACCCAAGGTTATCATAAAGTTATTTTTTGGTTATTTTAGAAAAAGGAATTTGACTGGGAATAAGAAATGTCTTAACAGTTTTTGATGATCAAAACAAGCAACTTTTTTTGGCATTACATTAGAAAGACTCCTTGTTAAATTATTAAATAGATACAATGACGTTTCGGCTGTGTTGCTTTATAATTGAATAAAGTAAAATGGGAATTAAATCAGCAATATTAGTTGAAAAATGTTGTCCTCAGTGTGTTAAAAAAAACAATCTTATAAGCACACACAAAAAATTTTATGCCAAATAACCTTTCAAGTAAACTGAATTTAACTACTAAACGTTGTTTCATTGATTCAATGAAAATGTACCACTAAAAAAGTGTAAATAAATTCCACTTCATCAAAAAATATAAATTTGAAATCTGTTTTTTTCTTTGAAAAGTATGTAAATGTTTAAGTTGTATATAACTTTAACCAAAATTTTCTTTAACATTTTTTTAAAATAGTCTGTAGAACTTTAGTTTATTAAAAAATTTTCTTAATCAGTTTTATGTATCATTTGAAGTCACTACAATAAAAGTTTTTTTTAATGAACTTGCTTGAATCATTAATTCATTATGAAGCATATGATATAAAAGCATATGAAGCATAAAATATGTGTGCGTGTGTGTTCCTGGTTTTTACCAATATACAAAATTTTATTTAATCTAGGGTTACAATAAAACATATGAAACATTTAAAGTAATGTAAATTACATTTTCACTTTAAATTCAGATAAGCATGCAGTAAACATTATTGATTATAAAAATCTAAGTTAAACTAAGTAAAATCATTCACAATGACTTAACAATAAATAATTTGCTCTATTGCTTTCTCCTGTTCTGAATTAAGATAAGCCATTTTCATTTTAAATCTTTAACACACTTATTACTTTCATAGATTTTTTTTCATAATTTTTTGTACTACTACTATTTAAATTTTTTGTGCTAATGTTCAACTTCGTAGCATTGTAATTTTGAAACCTAATCCAGAAGACATGGAAAATCCGGAATCAATCAAGCATTGGGAGAAATTTATCTTTGTGGATGATTTTTTGATGGAACTAACCCGCATCTGTGTTACATGGAGAGGTAAACCACAAAAGCGTCGCACAGTTAGCCTGATGGCAAGGGTTACTTTATTAACACTCAACATACACTGTAGTACTGGCAATAGCACAATTTGTTGAGGAATAAGAGAAGTATGTTTGTCATCAGTGGATATTTTATCGCCAAAATTTTTTTTAAAATTTCTTCAATAAATACGGAGAAATTTGAGAATCTATGGGTAAACAGGAGATAGTCGTAAAATACAGGAGTCTTCTTTAAAAAACAGGAGAGTTGGCAGGTATGCAATAAAGTTGTAAAAAAATAATAATAATTCTACGAATACAACAGTAACAAGTTCATATATTAATAACTGAAAAATGAACTGAATGTATTACTAAACAAAACATTTTAAATTTACTTATTTTCAGATAATTTACTTAGTTGACAAAAAATATGAAACTCCTTCAAATCATACAAAAACATTTTAGGTATGGAATTGAAATTAATGCCTTAACACTGTCCACGGGCATTAATCAAGTGCAATCATAAATTGGAGAGAAATATTTCACCAAATAATAAAAAATTTAAGCAGCGATAAAAGACACTTAATTTAGAGTTATAAAAGTAATAATAAATAAATTAAATATTTTCAAAATAGACGAGTGACTTACGGCATTAATGACTTTTCAGGATATTTCAGTTCTCCTATGACTATTTGGGAGAATTTCTTAAGATCATATCGCTGATATTCTAAAAGCTTCAGAGTGATGAAATCATATTTTAAAGATATCAGGCTCTTCTCCGTCAGGAACAAGAGTCGCTCTTTTTCCGTATCCCAATGATCAATCCTGTAACAATTCACAATTTAGATATCAAAAGAAAAAAAAAACTAGTAAAACGTAAAGATAATAGAATAATTATTTTCCTTTTTTTAATTCTTCCAAAATTAATTTAATTATTTTGTGAGATTAAATAAGTAATGTAAATAAATTGTATGATCCTTGTAAAATATGAGGAATTTTCAGACTATAACTATTCTGCATTAACCAAATTATTATTCCTCATACAAAAATTAAGAATAGCTAATTGAAGTGGGATCATTTATGAATTTCACTGTTCTTAAGAATTAATTTTGATTACGACTTCTGTTTTTTATTCTTAATTTATATTATTTTAAGAAATCTCATTACATCCCCAAAAATATTTCAAAATACAGACTTTTGTTCTAATGCAAGGAGAAAGGATTCAAATTTGCAATTTGCCGGAATTTTTTATTTATTTCGTTATATGAGTATGCTACTTTCTCATTATTTACTATGTACATTGATATTTCTCTGCATAATAAAAAATATAGATACTAACACAGGGTGCGTAGCCAAATCTTCGAATCAAAAATAAGCACTTTTTAAAAACTTTTCAAGCACTTTACAAACATTTTTAAGCACTCAAAAAATTCATATTCAATCAATGATATTATTGAAAAACAAAAACTTTTTATAAACAGTTTTAGCGTTAAAAAAAAACCAAAAAGAAACGGGCGTAAATCGAAACAATCAGTACTTTCCCACATCACCGAGTGAATTCAACTTGACCCTGAACTCAGAACAAAAGTACCCTTACCCCCTACGTCAAAAAAAGTGTTAGAAGTAAAATAAAATAAACAAGAACAAAATTAAAATAAATTAAAAAGAAAAACATTTCATAAGGATCTGATATTCTCTATCCGAATTGGAGCACTCGGGTTTCGGTTTCAAGTGTGCGCGCATGCGCAAGTCATAACGTGGGTACGACATGAAGTCCGCGTGAATGATTACGTAGCAAACTCCCCATTTTTCGTGAAATGCATGGGATCCACCAGATATCACTGAAGGGAAAAAAAAATATTCAGAAAAAAAGCACTTTTTAAAAACGCCAGCTGAAAAAAGCACCTTTAAAAGCTTTTAAAAACGAAATCCCCAAAAAAGCACCTTTAAGTACTTTTTACAAACGCTACGCACCCTGTAACACATATAAGGAAAATAAACACTGAAAAAAATTATTATATACTTTTTTTGAAGGAAATTTGAATAGAAAATTAAAATGGGATCCATACTAGATGACATTTGACTCTGAGAAGGACAGTTTGGTGTTAGTTTACAGAAATTTTCTTTACTTTAAGTCTCAATTGAATTGCTTTGGATCAAGCGCATTGTTTTTTTTACAACATTGCCAGCCTAATACAGCGGAAAAGTATCATATGTCTGACATTCAAATCTGGATTGAAAAAATTCCCAGTGTTTTCCCTGTACATAATAAAGAGGAAAAACTCAATCACTGTGCTCTTGTACGACATACATTGGGCTAACTATACTAATTATAATTGATGAAAAAACTTAGAGAAAAAAGAAACGGCTAAACATACTTAAAACAAATAATGCTATAGTAAATGAAATAGTTTAATATAGCTGAAATATCATCCTTAAATAGCCCTCAGTTTTCACTTCGAGTGGTTGCTATTTTTTAAAAAGATGAAAATAAGGAACAAAATTCCCTGTATTTTCCCAGTTTCTAAAGAAAAACTCAAAACTCCCTGTTATTTTAGGTGATATTTAAATTCCCTGTATTTTCCTGTGGAGCTGTAACCTTGTATCAGCACCGATAATATTCTGATAAAAACATGGGGACCATTCTACCATACACATTAAAAGAAAAGCCTTGCTCTGCTAGTGTTAAACAGGGTTTATACTCAATTTCTGTGGTGAAAAAATTCCCTTCTCTAAAGTAAAAACTTGCAAAGTAACACAGGTAAAGAAATTATAACATTGGTGCACAAAACATATTAATTTATAACAAAACAACAAAAACAAAAGCAGTTGGGAATCAAAAGCGGATCAAGACTTCAAAATGCTAAGGTTAACCAATTCTTACAAGCATGAAAAAAATAAATAAAAAGTTAATAAAAATCAATGCAAAATCAACCCTTTAAGCACTACCACAAGCAACCAAACACGTATAGCATTTTATTTTTCTAAAATTATGACTTTTTAAAATTCTTTAAAAAAGAGAAAGAAAGGCCTGAAAATCTTAATTTTCTGTCCCAGGTTTTGAACTTTTTTTTCCAGATGTTTGGTAAAAATTTATTTTGATTTTCCCTGAATTCAAAAATATGCTCTTAATGTATTTATTATTTACACAATAAAATTGGAGTTTTTTTAAAGTATTAAGAATAAAATAAATAACAAACAAATTTATCAGTTTTGGTTATCTCAGTTACTGCAAACTGAACAATTAAATAAACGATGAAAGAGGTTAATAGCTCTTGCTTTGTTTTAGAAATTTCTTAACTGCTAATGTGGTTCATGAGAATTCAATTGCGATTTATAGAATTGAATTATATAGATCTTCTATTAATATATTTATTCTATTCAATAATAAAATAGCATGGCCCAAAGGAAAGTGTTTAACTTAACTAAAATTAAAATATCAACTCACTCTGTGAGTAACCAAATGCCTCTCAAATCACCATCCATGTGATCCAGGAGTACTGGGCGACATTGCTCGGCAGCCTTCTGGAGAGCACCCTCCTGAATTCAAATATAAATCAATTATAAACTTGTGGCGTAACTACCACTACGATTATTAAACATCAATTCACTAGTATATAAGACATGCTAACTCAATTCACTATTGGGGCAGGGTGCATAGCCAAATATTTCAAAAAAATTAAGTACCTTTTAAGTACTTTTTAAGCACTAAAAATATTTTTAAGTACTATATACATTAAAAAAATGCAAAACAATTTTCAGACTTTACATGATCATGATAAAATAACTTCTGACTAAGAACTCTTTTCTTCATTATATTATCCACCATAAAAAGATCGAGAGATTTTTCGGTTCGATTTCGGAGGGTGGAAAATAAAGCCTGAAACAGAGAATATCTTGCAAAATGCAGCCTGAAACTGAGAATATCTTGTAAAATGCAGCAGAGTTGCACATGAGAGTGCAAGACTCTCACTGAACCTAGCTTAGTATACACACATGCAGACTCGCAAGTATTTCATCAAACATTTGAAATGATTGGCGCTTTAACGCGCTACAGACCAACGGTGCGTTGAAATTCATTCTTTTTTAATTAATTGTGAAAACATTGAATAGAACAATGTGAAAGCCATACTTTTGCCTATATATATATATATGTATATAAAATTAGGATCTGTGCAGTAATAAAAATTATTTTTTTCCTATCATTTAAAGTTCTTAATTTATAAACGTAAAATCAATAAAATTAAAAAACATTTTCAAAGACTATAAATAATCTAAGTTTCTAATAAATATTACAGAGAAAATCATAAATTTTTTGTAATTTAAAACGACAATCGATGCGGCAAAGAAAAATCTCTTTATAAAAAGATAGGAAATTAAGCACTTTTTACAAACCCAGAAAAAAATAGCACCTTTAAGGGCTTTTAAAAAACGTAAATCAAAAATAAGCACCTTTAAGCACTTTTTAAAAAAGCTACACACCCTGCAAACTTTAACTATGTGTTTTAATTCAATTTGCGAGCATAATAAGAATAAAGACTATTTACGTACTCATTACTTTAAAAAGGTGAAAAAAAATTATTAACAAAAATTATCAACATAATTATCAGGTATTAAAATTTTAATCAACACATAGGAATGAATTAGTAATAATGAATTAGTAATTTTCATGCAATGAATTATTAATTTTCATGTAATGAATTAGTAATTTACTGAACTATATCAGGGTTGCCACTTAAATCAGGAGGAAAAAAAATTTCCTGTTTTTTCTCTGTATGTATTATACATTAAGAGGAAAGAATTACTGTGCTCTTGCTTGAGCTATATTGGGCAAACTATACTAGTTTTAATTGGTGGAAAAACTTAAGAGTAACAGCTGAACATACTCAAATAAAGTTAAAGTAAATGAAATAGTTTAGTATAGCTAAAACAGGATGTATAGCCAGATTTTTTAACAAAAAATAAGCACTTTTTAACGCACTCAAAAAATATTTTTTAATCACTTTCATAATTAAGATCTGTGCAATTATAAAAAAAAAAATTTCCATCATTAAAAGTTCTTCATATATTAACATAAATAAAATTCAAAAGCTTTACATAATCATGATAAAATAACTAGTTTCTGAAATATATTGCAGAGAAAATTATGAAAATCATGTACTTTTTGTAATTTAGAATGGCAATCGACACGGCAAAGGGAAAAAAAATCTCTTTTTAAAAGATAGAAAATTAAGCACTTTTTACAAACCCTGAATAAAAAAAAAGCACCTTTAAGGGTTTTTAAAAACAGCAAATCAAAAATAAGCACCCTTAAGCACTTTTTAAATACACTATGCACCTAGTAAAATATCCTCCTTAAATATCCCATAGATCACCTTTTGTGTAGTCACCATTTTTTAAAAGATGAAAATAAAAAATAAACTTCCCTGCATTTTCCTTGTTAATTTTGGTGACTTTTAAATTCCCTGAATTTTCCAGGTTTTCCCTGTGGAGTGGCAACCTTGTATATGAACAAAAAAAAACATAAACAAAAAAAAAATATTGCACAAGTCGAATAGTAGCCGCCAACTAAAAAAACGTTAAATATAAATGGGTAATTTCTTTATAATAAAACAAGTAATAAATAAGCTTACTCTAACAGCAAAGAAATCTTGAACATTGGTGGAACGTGCCAGACGAGTCGAAGAAGGACGCCGCTTATCGTCTCCAGATGCTTCAGCACCAACATTACCATTAAGATCATCTGATGAAGCATTTATTATTATTATTCCAAATAAGAAAAAATGCAATTAGAAAATAAATAATAAGTTTGTTTCAATGTCAAAACATTAAAGGTTGTAAGTTGATTATTTTTTTTCTAGGATGTTATAAGAACCGCATAAGCTAAACTAAGGTTAACTGCATAAAGCTTAACTCAGGAGGCACTAGCAGTTAAAATTTGTTTTAAAAAAATCTGGCTACTACTTATTTTTATGTCATCAGCATGCCATCCTATATTATTATTGTACTAGCGCTATCAACAAATATCAGTAGCAATATTTACTATTTAATTTGAAAATTAATTTAATTAGTTGTAAACATAAAAAAAACTGAAGGTAACAACACTCAAAGCATGGCAATCCAAGCAGCAAAACAACTTGGAACTTCATTAGACTAATATTCATGGATCTTGGCTCATTAAGGGTTTAAAGGACCATTATTTTTACTTGATACTCACTTAATATTTCATAGTGTTTATTTGTCCAATATTGGCCCGAAATAGATTTGTCTGATTCGCCTGTTTTTTATAGCTACTTTTCAACCAATATCAGCCCTATGTAGAATTATCTGATTCAGACCACATTTTTTAATCCCTACTCAGCCAATATATTCCCTATATTGAATGGTCAAATTCAACTGATATATAGGCATTATTTATCAAATGTTGGTTAACACTTCAATTTAATTTTTAAAATACCACTTTTAACTATTTAACTAAAAAATATTTTTTTTTTATCATCTTTAAAATTTCAAAATCAAAATAATTCGGAGAAAAACATTTTTAATTTAAAATAAAATTGATGTTTTTATAAATTTTGAGTGAGTCCACAATTTGATTTACCACGCGAAAATCGGGTGACAATGTTAATTATAATAGGGTTATATATCTTTAATGAAGCTATAAATGATACATTTTAATTGGCGTTATGTTGGAGACAAAAGAAAGTTAATAAATTATTTTAAGAATTTTGAGCATGTCCACATTTTTATCTACCATTCTAGTTTTAGACATTAAAAATTTATTTCTTTTAAATTAGCAAGTTTACAAATTTTTTTACTCTTTTAACTTTGTTATTATTTTTGCTAGTTTTAATTCTTTTCAAAGGTAAAACTTGGATTTTCAATGTATTTTTCTGATTATTCTTTAATTCAAAATTCATCAACAGTGTATTTTCTGAAAACAAAGCAATATTAGATCTACTTTACTACTCTACTTTATGTACCCAAAACTTAAAAATAAGAAAAAAATTTAAATGTTTTTTATTTTAACCTCTTTTTTTTTTTACTCTCATTTTATTTTGAATACGAATATACGGTTTTATTTTGTTATTCAGAAACTCTAGAAAACAACAAGCATCCCCTGTGGCAGAATTTTTTCAGGCTTTCTGCGACATATCACTACAAAAGCAACAAATTCAACAACAAAAAAAAAAATTCGAATCAGATAAAACAAATTTTTTATTTGAAATATGTAATATTTTTTTATAATATTCTGGGCAATATTTTTGCATTTTGTAGGGGGATAACACACTAATTATTTCTTTTTTTGCATTTTGTAATTCATCATTACATTAAAAAAAAAAAGTGAAATCCTAGCAGTAACCACCGAAAAAAATATATATACCGATGACGAAATCACGCGAATCGGACTCTTCAAAAAGGGGTTACTAAGGGGTGTGTTTTCACTTCGAGATTCAGTCGTTGTAATAAATAATAGCATATTTAAAATATCCGATTTTAAAAACTAAGTGGAAATCAATAGTAATAACTGCATAAAAAAATAGAATGAAAACTTCTACAGAAAAGAAAACCAAGTTTTTTTTATTTCATTATTCTTTGTTTTTTATTATTCTCAAATGAGAATAGAAAAATCACAAGCATTTTTTTTCTCCACTATCATGTACGAGAAAGGCATCTTTTGAATATAATTCCGAAGGAAAGATAAAATATTTCAAAAATTTCTGCAGAAAAGAAAAGCAAAATTTTTTACTTCCCAAAGGAAAAATCTTTCTGCAAGAACTCAGCAACATTCTGCGATAGTGTTGCTGTGTCACCCCGATTCTGCCATGGGCAAGCATCTATTACAAGAAAATATTTTTTTTTATATAATTACTACAGTTTCCCAGCCGAAATAGAGTATCAATTTACTTAAACAGCATCTTGATACCTATATTATACACAGGGTATCTGCTACGTTTTAGATTTTCAAATCCATGTCTTTTCATGACTAATTCCGAGAATTTTTCATGACTTAACGAAGTTACACAAAAACACAGCAATAAATTTTTTTAAAAAAACATTATAATAACATTAATTGAAATGATTGTTATAACCAAAACTGTTACACTCTGCATCTTTATAATCATAGATTTCAAAATTAAAAAAAAAACAGAGTAAAGAAAGTGTTGAAACAATAAAATAGCTAAAAAAAATACCAAAGCAAATTTTTTTTTTCTTTTTTTTCCCACAGAATTATACTCTAAAGATACTTTTCTTGTTCATTGGAAAGGAAAGGAATACTCCTGATTTTTCTGCTCTCATTTCGGAAAAAAAAATTTCGCCAATGACTGGCCTGCTTCAGCTAGAATTTTAAATGGATAAAATAAAAAAATAAAAATACAAATAAAAATTCTGAAATCAAATTCGCTCTTGAAATGATGTTTTTTCTTTCATTTTTTAAAAGAACACCATAATTTTTAAAGAGCATGACAAAAACATTTTATATTCAAATAAAATATGACTGAGTGGTGATTTTGTTGGAAATTCAGATATTTGGAACAGGATGAAATTGGGGGGAGGAGATTCCATTCTTAAAAATTAGATTTTTCGGAGACCTAAATCCATGACTTTCCATGATTTTTTTTANTTATAATAAATAATAATATTATACAAATAATAATATTTATTTATTTGTAAAAAAACATTTATTTTAGGATTCTAAAATGAAAAGAGATCAAAAACTTTCAATCTTTTAAAAATTATTACCCTTATATTAATTATTAATATGTTAAAAATAATTTTTTCATGTAATGTATCAAAATTATTATTCCTTATGATTGAGTTAAATTTGTTTCAAGTATTTTGTAATAATATTTAATCAGCTATTTAGATAATTTGGTTTTTGCCGGTTTTTACCAGGTTTTTGCCACTGTCCTGGCAAAAAACCCTTTTTGCCGGCAAAAATTCCAACCCTGATTTTAATAAAACATGACTGATGTGTGTGGGGATTTTGTTGCACATTCATATATTCGAACACGATGAAATTGGAGGGAATGGTAAAATCCATTTTGAAAATTACATTTTTCGTCGACCTAAATCCATGACTTTCAATGATTTTTTTTATAAAAAATAGTTAAAACCATGACAAATTTTGTTCAATACCAAAATTCATGACTTTTGAGGTGCGCGGATACCCTGTATAGATGTACAGTGAAACCAGTCCAGTTGACCACAGGGTTGCCACAGTAAAAGAGGAACAAAAATAGTTGCTTTTAGTAGCCTCAAGAAAGAAAATAGTTGCCTAAAACTACGAAAATAGTTGCCTGAACAGGGTCAAAAATTGATCAAAAATTTGTTCAAAAATTACCCATGGCAAATCTTTAAATCAATCAAAAATAAATAAAAAGAAATAAGTCTATTACAAAAGAAAATACTAATTCTAAACATATTCCACTATGATATCAATACCATTGCTTAATATTTTCAATTAAAATAATAAAGAAGTCAAAGTAAAAGCAAACCCAAGTTCTATTTCATTATTCTTCAATAAAAATGATTTAAGATTTACTGGTTTAAAAATAATATTGTAACAAAATATTTTGCATAAATAAATTAAAAATTAAAAGAAAAAAACAAAAGTAGAAAACAAACCAAAGAAATGTTCATTTTCGAAGAAAAAAAATTATTACTTTTAAATTATTTGTTGAAAAGAAATTATGCTTTTGAAACATCATTAGACCGTCTTTTATTTAATTATTTAAAATAATAAAGAGTACTATTGACTAATGGTCAAATTCTGTACTTAATAAATGTAAAAATATTTTCTCTATTATTTTCCTTTTTGAAAATAAAATAGACTAAAGATTTACCTATTTGTTTAAAAATGATACTGACTGTCTAAAAAATTATTAAAAAAAAAAAGAGAATACTTTAAGTACTAATGTTAAATTATTAAAAAGCGTCAAATCATTACTAAACTCTTTATTTAATTTTTTAAAAAATTATTTGTTTTAACTGCACTACGCACATGGTTGGTGGCAATAAGTATGTGTCAGTGAGGGGACTGAAAAGTAACGTTCATTATTGAGAAAAAACTTCGCCAAGAGTAATAAAGTCTCCCAATAGTCGCCTATTCCTGAAAATAGTTGCTTTTTTAGCCTTTTCAGGCGAAAAAAGTCGCCATAGTCGCCTAAGGCCAAAAATAGTAGCAAATAGTCGCATTTTAGTAGTCTGTGGCAACCCTGTGACCACCATTATCAAAAGCCCAATTTATCCTAATTAAAAGGAAATGAAACATTTGTAACCTGACTACTTGTCTTTTGAACACAGAATTAAATTGAAATTCAGGTTTGTTACAGAAAGGTATTTTAAACCCTTCATCTCGGTATGATATTATAATGCTCTAATAGCATATGCTCATGCATAATAAAATTTTAAGAAATTATGAATGTTATGCATCATTAACAAAATATATACCTACATATATGTTTTTCAAAAACAATCAGTTCATTAATAAGATTATCTGACTAACATGAAATAAGAATGACGACTCATCCCACTTTATAAGTTGATCACCTGTCTAAGTTGACCATAAAAGCAATGCACTGCAATTACATTGCACTTAAACAGGTATCACTAGATAATATTCTGAGCAAATATTTCAACCAAAGAGTAGATTTCAGTAATTAACTAAACCATCATATAAACGAAATTCTTGCTCTGACTATAACATTTAATGCAAATTTAAATACTTACTTACAACAGATTCGGATAAATAAAACTAAGATAGGAGTTACCTAAAGCAACAGTAAGTCAATCACCTGCCTAAGTTGACTGCTAAAGCATAAGCAATGCACTGCAAGTGGTCAAATTACACAGATAACAGTAGATAGCATTCAGAGTAAATATTTAAACGATATAGTAAACTTTAATAAGGGGGATATTTCCGTATCCTGATCTGTCATGCCAACTACAATAGCCAAGGTGTCAAATAGATTTTAAACTTGAAATTTTTAAAAAAACAAACAAACAAAAACATGTAGATGTTTTGCCCGGGGGTAACGACGAGTTATACCTATCGAGTTAAGTCACTTACTGTGATGTTCGTTTAAGTTTGTCATGGGGCACTGCTCCAAAGCTTCCAAGCCTTGGCAATCATTCTGCCACAAATCACGATACAGAAATCTCCCCTCAATAAGTAACTAAACCAGAAAAAAACTCTTGATGTAATAAAAATATCTAACAGAAATTGAAACATATATTTAAAGTAGCCATCATATAAATGATTTTTCTAAAATGAAACTAAGATTATAAAAGAGAGGAGTCACCTATAGCAGCAGTAGGTTGATCACCCACCTAAGTTGACCACAAAAGGACAAGCAATGCCCCGCATGTAGTCAACTTACGCCGGTTTTGAGTAAATATTTCAACCATACGGTAAGCTTCAATAAGTAACTAAACCATCACATAAAATTCTTAATGTAATAAAAATATCAAAGGAGAGTTGAAACATTTATTTTAAACAGCTTTAGATGAATAATTTTTTCTAAAATGCAACAAAGATTAGAATTGAGATGAGTCACCTAAACCAGCAGCCGCTACCGATTCCGGTGGAGAAGTTTCTCGAGATAATGAGAGAGTAGCTCCACGAAACTCAGCCTCATTACAGTCTTCTAAACGATCGAAATCACTACTTGGCGAACTATTCGATATATTTAGGTTTCTATCATTATTTAAACCTACATCAGTGTAATTTTTTGAATTAGCCATAACGAAAAACGAAACCTGTCCCTATCACTTTCAACATTTATTTGACAACAATATGAATATTGTTGCCATCCGTATATTACGAACTATTTTTTTTTTTTAAATTTATTAGATAAATGTGAATTTTACCCCGAACGAAAAGCTTCTGAAATTTCGTAAAAGAATAATATGCCTATTTCATCATAAATATCTAAAAGAAATCTTTTATTTGGAAATTGAAATGCGGGTAAGGATCAATCGTAAAATCATATAAATAAATTTTTAATAATCTTAAACTGTAAACAGTTGAAAAAGTATTTCATTAAATAGTTTTTCTGTTGTATTTGTAAGCTATTTGTGAACGAAGTAAGATGAAAAATTTCGTACCGTATAAACCGTTCAAACCGTTGGTGAACCAAAATAATATTCGTGTAAAAATAACAACTCACCTTCACCATTGTAAATATGTAGTAAAAAAAAAAATTTACTATTTGAGATGAGAAAATATTTCTACTAATGATGAATAAACAGTAAATCTTAACTACATTTATTTTAAATGAAATATTCTCTTGAATTATAGTGCACGTACAACACTTAATTAAAGTTTTACTGAGGATGTGCTAATGTATTGCATTTAATTTTATTTGCAGTATTCATTACATATGTAATCGGAAAATGTATCCTATTAACATAAATGAGCTTTTACGATCTTTGAGCTTGCAGTAAACCCTTTCTAACGAATAATATAAAGTGAGTTTCCTGTTAACAATTTTTCCTTGTCTTCAAATCGCTTTCTTGATAAATTACAGCTAACATATTCGAATTATTTTTCTTTCCTTCAGTTTCCTATCAATAAAATATCCTAAAATGTATTATAATAAATTCCAGAAAGTACATTAAAAGTGAATGTATCTATATTAAAACGCATTTCAAATGTGAATGTAACATGCATATGCATTGATAGACATTGCAAAAGGTTATATTTGTTGTGTAATGAGTATACTCTTCTTCATTGTCACTATAATTATAACAGAAGTAATTAATTAAATTGTTTCTTAGAAAAACTAATGCTGCAAGATACTTTTTTTAAACAAGCTGTTGATTGATAGAGTTAATTTATTGATGTTACTAATTATCTGTTAAAAGTGTTATATAACATAGAATTAAGAAAGGAGGAAGCATTGTAGTGAATCTAGATTTCATTGGTTGAAATTAATGAATCATAATGTTTATCAAATTAAGGAATATTTTTTAGTTTGATTCTTTTCTATGTGTATATTTACTCATGTGTATGCATTGATTGTTCTAAGCAAAATAAATAATATTCCTAATGTATACTGACATCAGAAACATAGAGATAAATATAAATTTTTAAGCTACTCTCATATTTTTGTAATTTTGTTCTGAATTTTATGGTGCTTATGTGTTTTTTTTTTTTAAAAAAAGGAAAACTTTCACAATTTAACATTTATAGAACCTTTAAGAATTCAATAAATAGAAATATCTGAAGTATATTACAGTACAGAACCCGTTATCCGGAAATCAAAAAACCGGAACAAAATTCGATACATTTTCTCGCCATTTTTAAAAAGAATTTTTTTTCCTCGTAAGATTTTACGATTTTTCTTTCTTTTTTTAAAGATGTTTACCTTACCATCATTTTGGAAATAATCATTAGTGCATTACTTCATCGTTTTTTCTTATTTTTAAGATTATTTCCCAATTTTTTTAGTTGGGTTTAACAATTAAAAAAACGGCTTTTTGTAGCGATTCAGAAAACCGGAAAAATCAGTTATCCGGAATAGCGATGGTCCCGAACGTTCCGGATAATCGGTTTCCTACTGTACCAAATTAATATTGAATCTTATTTGGTACTATTGCTAGGTTGTTTTAATTTTTGGTTTGTGTGTAAAGCCTATAAATTTTTTTTCAATTAAAATAATATATAATTTAATTTTATATTAATTGAAATATGTATTTGGGGAGATTTCCGTATCCTGATCTGTGGCAGAATAATCGCCAAGTCTTGGCACCTTGGCGATTGTAGTTTCCGCAACAGATCAAGATACAGAAATATCCCCATGTATTTAATTTCTTTATATATATTTTCATTCTGTAAGCATTGCAGTTTTTTTTATACAGTCAAACCCCGCTATACTGAACCTTCAAGGGACCTATCTAGGGTTCACTATATCCGTTCCACAAACAATTTTAACGAATTTTTCTGAACTCTTTATTATACATTTTTTAAATTAATGACCAATTAAATGAAATACAAAAATGACTGGTCCCGTAGTGGACTGATCGTTAAGACACGGTTCCCAGCAGATCACCGAAGTCAAGCATCACTGGCTGCGGTCAGTGTGCGGGTGGGTGACCACTTGGATCAGTCTGCGTAGGGACCGAGGGTGTGCGGTATTGGTCCTCGTTAAACTGTGCTACCGTAAAGTGCTCGACTTCGCGCGCAGGTCGTCGGGCTACCGAAGCGGGGGTGCCATCCCCTCCGCAGAGGATCAAAATTGTGATGGCATGTCTTCGGATCATCCTCCGGGGTGTTTCCCAGACCGTCGCCGATAGCCCATTGTGCAGCTCTAGTGCGACGTAAATTAACAACAACAACAACAAAAATGACTGAAAAATAATACGTAGTAACAAGAAATGTGTTAACTTGATTTTCTTTTTTATTACTCTCCGTCTTGTGTACAAAAAAAAATTTGTAATCTTTAGCGGATGCAGGGAAAAATTTGTCCATACATCTGCCTGGGTTAGCCTTTGTTTAGGGATGGAAAAGTGGGATAAAAGAAGCAAACACGAAAAGAAAGAAAGAAAAATGCTTAACGCTACATTCCTCTGTATAGATGGTTTTAAAAATTAATATAAGTATTTATTTACTACTTAGACATTTCAAAATTATTTAAAAAAATGAAGAAAAAAATTAGTCGAAGAGAAGAAAAAGTTCATAATATCCAACTTCCTCACTTTTTTAGTTCACTATATCCACAAAAAATAACATTATGCATGTATAGCAAGGCACGAGCTTGAACGTTCCGTTCACTGTATCCGAGAGTTCACCATAAACCGTGTTCACTATAGCGGGATTTGACTGTAGTTAGAATTAATTTTGAAATGAACTTTTGCATTGTGTGGTGTGGTAAAAGAAAAAACTCATTTCTTTTCTCTCAATGATTATATAGATGTATATTTATTATTTTCATTTTTGGATGAATTCTAATACTTAATAATGTTTAATTTTCTGCAAATATATTACTAAGTTTACTGATAAAAGAAATTTAGCATTCAGAACACTAATGTTTATAAAAATAATTATCATATTTGCCATTAACATTTCTAAGTATGTGTTCATTAGTCGATTTTATTTAATCTATGTGATATATTTGTCCCCTTTATTTGTTTACAATTAATTCGAATAAATTTTTAATATGATATTACAACATGGAAATATATTTTATTCCCAAAAATCATTATTTCATATGACAATGGAGCTTTTGAAAAACATCCTTAAAAGGTGAAATTCTAAAGAAACTTTAGGCAAAATGTACACTTTGTTTTATTTTATCCCTTTCAAGGGCAGTGGAATAAAAACTATCCACTTATTTTTGACAATATTAACTACTGAAATTTTAAAGTTTTTATCTCTTAAACAAGGTGGTTTTTAATGAACCACTTTTTATTTTAAAAAATGTAAATATAAAGCAAATAGCCTCATTGTGAATGTGCATATCATGGTTTTCCTTGACCAAACCTTTTGTTTAAAATTTTCTGCTCAACAAAATGTTGCAACTAGGTTTGAACAAAGTGGCCATCCTTAATCTTTTATACAACAGCATTCAACCAATTGGCAATTCAGTGTTTCCCTAAATAATCTTTTTTATATCACAGATATTAGATAATAACATTTTAGAGGACTCAAAGCCTGTATATGACTTATATTTATTTTGTACAGAACAATCAATGTGTACACATAACTAAGAGTACTGACCTTTCAATTAAGAGTTAATGAGACGGAATGTTGGTTTTCAAGTAAGCAAAAATTAAAAAATATGCATTATAACATTAAAACAGAATTTTATTAAGCTTATGCATAACATTAATAAATATTTTAAAAAAATATTTCCTGTATGATAAATTTCAAAGCATGAGCTGCAAAGGTCAACATCACAGTCGATTTAAATTAAAAATAGTCTGGCACAGCATCTAATGTATAAAATAAGAAATAAAAAAAATTTCTGGGCACAAGATATAGATGTTTTTAAACCTTTCTGGTGCATTACTTTTGAACGCTCTAGCATGGAATTATCAAAGGTTAGAGAAATAGGAAAAGACAAAAGCTCTCCCCTTGATTTTGACGGGAGTGAGAAAGATCAGGTTAAAAGTTTTTATCATTATTTCTTCTCGTTAGTGATTATGGCAAATGGCGACGCTTGGCAAAAGCTTAGTTTTTTTTGTAAATACAACATTTCTGTTACTGTATATTTAATTAATAACATGTATATTAGTTATTGTTATTATTAAAAGTATCTTGCAGAAAGATATTAGTGCTAGAGAGTTTTGTCGTAGATAGCCCCAAAAAATTCTGCCACAGGGCACAATTTTTGGACTAAAAATATTTTTTAATTATATTTTCGGTTTCTTACTGGTACAGATTAAGTTCTGATAAACAAAAAATTTAATTTAAACATTTCGAAATTTATTTATACATAATATATCATGATTTATTCCCATATTACAATTTATAATGATGCTTATTTATATCGTTCTTAAATATATTATTTTTTCTTATAGGAAATTTCACTATGTCTTCAGTACAATGTCAACCAAATTTGCAGTTTCAAGACCAGGCCTCAAATCACTCGAATGACATCTCTTCAAGGTCGTCGAGACAGTCTACTTTTTCTACCTATGTGCACGCACTAAGGCCATGGTCTTTCAGTGCATCACTCACCCCCGTAGCTATCGGGGCTGCCCTTGCCTACAAATCAACTGAGCAATTTGATATTGCCATATTTCTAATCACTTGTTTGACTGCTGTAACTGTTCATGCCGCCGGTAATGTGGTGAACACCTATTTCGATTACATGAAAGGTATCGACACCCGGAGAAGTTGCGATGATCGAACTCTCGTGGACAAAATTCTGACACCAGATGACATTGTCCACCTCGGAGTCATTTTGTACACTTTAGGATGTGTGGGTTTCATCGGCACTGTTTGGTTGTCCCATGCCAAGATGGAGCACCTGGCACTAATTTATTTTGGTGGTTTATCGAGTTCTTTCTTGTACACAGGTGGCATAGGATTGAAGTACATAGCTATGGGTGACGTCTTGATCATCGTGACATTCGGCCCACTGAGCGTCCTGTTTTCGTTCATGGCGCAAACTGGCTACATGGACTTCTACACTTTATTCTATGCTATGCCGCTGGCGTTAAACACTGAGGCAATATTGCACAGTAACAACACACGTGACATGGAGAACGATCACAAAGTTGGCGTCGTCACACTTGCTATCCTTTTTGGCTATTTTGGCTCCTACGTGCTATACATTTTTCTTTTATTCACGCCATATTTATTGTTCTTTTTTCTTGGTTTGCGCTATAGTTTTTCCTTCTTCCTCCCCCTCATAACTCTTCCAGCTGCATTTCGGTTAGAGAGAATGTTTAGGGACCGGACACTGGAAAAAGTGCCCAAAGAAACAGCAAAGTTGAATTTGTACTTTGGATTGTTTTATGTTATAGCATGTGTCATGGTTGACAAGTATAAATTTCCCTACTTAGGTGTAAATTAAAATTTCTATTGACATTCATTTCTATGTGATCTGTCAAACGTGTGACATTTTTTACGATTCAACGTCTGTAAAGCAGGAATTTTCTGTTGACTTACTCGACACAAATGTTAATTTATTAAATGTTTTGATTTTAAGTCTCCTTTTATTAATTCACAGATCCTAAACATGCTAATTTTTGTTTTAACGCAAATATGTTTGTTACATTATTTCAATACTTGAAGTTTTATACAAAAGCATTAAAAAGAATAGCTTTTAACTTGCAAGACCATATTCCTCTAAGTAACTTTAACATTTCAATAACTAATCTTCCATTAATGTATTGACATAGATTAATTATGATATCCATTACAATTTTATTACTTCAATGAAAGGTTTGTAGTTTTTTTCTTTCAAATTACTGAATTTACTTCTATATAAATTATTACTTCATAAATATTTTCATATGCTTTGTTTTTTACTTAATAAAAGTTGAACATTTTTCCATTCATTAGAAGCTTCAACGTGTTATCTTCTAATGATGTTAAAACTTAGCAATTAGGCAAAGCCATTAACTTATTCAGCAAACAGAAAAATTAAATTAGGAAAATAATAATGAAACATTAATCTTATCACTAAGTAGAAGCTACTATTAATTTTTTAGTTTTATACTGTTTCATTCTGTGACATGTTGTTGATTTAATTTTATGTACAGTGCAAGAAAAAAGGATCACCTTTCCAGGTCACACTTCACGATTTAACTCAAACTTAATGGTTCAAGGGTGTGGCTTCAAATATGCTAATTAATTCATTAATGCAGACGATATTTCAAGTTCCAAAATCAGACACAAAAAAAGTTTTTTCTTTGAATAAACGTACCTTTTTTTTCAATGATTCAGATGCCTGAGCCCCAAAATATAGGGTGTAACCGGAATCTGAGATGTATGGTCCCCCATAGTTTAATCAGGAGAGCGATTTAAAGTTTGGACCTCATAACGTTAATTTTATTTTTTTGTGTATATAGCTATATCTCGAGAACTTTTTAAGTTAATTGAAAAAATTTTGCACACCATTATAACACCTGTTTATCAAAATATAATTCCAAGCAAAAAATAAATTTTAGTAAATATTTATTATTTTATTTAATATTAGTCAAAAAAATGTTGTGTTGTAAGTTATACAATTTTTTACATCATTTTAAAGTATGTATTGCGTGGCAAAATATGAAATTTGTGCAAAATTGATTGTATGTTTTTTAAGAAATCGAATTTTAAATATCTGACTTTTTAAAACATATGTTTTAATATAATTCTAAATTTACCCGATGGTTTAAATGTAAACCACTAAATTCCAACAAAAGATCTTTGGGACACTATTCTATAGTTGCCTTAAAGAAGATATTCTAATAATTATGTTGTCAGCAGTTCCCATCCCATAAATTGCAGACTTCTAGTTGGCTGTGCAGTGCTGGGCCATGAACTCTGTTAGAGATTTAATGTTTGATTACAATAAGGTTATTTTCTCAATTAAAATATTTTAACTCTTGTGCAGTATCTTTTTCTAATTGACGTATGTGCATACATATATAGGGCGATTCCACGAAAAGTGGTCCAGAATGACTAAATATTCAAAATGTTCGTAAAATTAAAAATGAAAACATTTTGGAATCTAGAAAATGTACTTTTTCTAATAGTAACGATGTTTTTTTTTTTTAAATTATAAAAAATGTTTAGTTAAATTCTAAAAAAAGGTGAAATACCCTACATTGTTATGTTATATTCCCATTAAGTTTTGAAAATAATGATGAGCAATAAAATAGTTTTTAGTATTATATATAACTATTTCATCTTTGTTTTATATATTTCTTAAATTTGGCCTACATTTTTTTTACTGATTTAAAGTTGATAAATAAAGATATTCTGATTTCCCATTAACATAGGTAACATAGTTTTACATTTTTTTCTGTAAAAACTTTAGTAAAATAGAAAATTTTAAATTTTTTTGTTTTATAAATTATGAAGGCAAGATATTCAAAGGAAAAATTCTCGAATTAGAATTGCCAATAATTATTATTTAAAAATTAATTTTATTCAAGGTAATACACGTAACAAAAAGTTGTGTATGTTACTCTTACCTGTGTTAGAAGTGCTTTACACTTTATTTATTTTTTCATGTCATGTCTGGACATTTTTCATATTCAGATTTTTTTATTCAACATCAAATTAATCTGTGCCTTCAATATTTAACTTAGAACACATGTAGACTTAACAACTAATTAAGAAAACTGTAAAAAATATTTAACAAGCTAATTATAAAGGATGCAAAAGTTGAAAAATGTAATGTAAAAGTAACACACGTAACTAAAGTATCGCCTTATATGTATGTGTGTGTATTTAGTGGGCTTTGAAGTTTTTTTACAAAATTGTTGATCTAAAAAGGATGCTTTCAATCTTTTATATAAATAGAAAAGGTTAATTTTCTTCCCCCTGTAGACTAGGTGTGACCAATCTGCTGCCCGCAGGATCTTCTAAACACACTGAGAAAAGAAAAATTTTAAAAAAATAAAATACCGAAAATGTCGAATTATACTTTCGAGTCATCATTTTTTGATGCGCTCAATTTGCACAGATTCTATTTTAAATCTATATTGTTTCTCTATCACTTTTTCAGCGATTATTGCTTACGGAATGACGCATGGTTTTTATGAAAACTCAACTATTTTTAATACGATGTTATGAAACACAAATTTCAGTAAACACTATTTGAGTGCCCCTGAGACTCGTAATAGAGTTTTCGCTTCCCAAAAAGGTGACCCAGGTTCGAATCCTAGCGGTGGCTCGCAACGACCACAGTGCTGATTTAAAATATCTCAGTGGTAGATGGTAGGACGCAAGGGCGGCGCCAGTAGGGGGTCAGGGGGGGCTGGAGCAGTGGCGTAGTGAGGGGTGGGCAAGGGGGGTCATCATGCCCCGGGCGCTACTCACAAAGGGGCGCCAAATGGTCCGCAAAGCAAAAAATTGCTGTATAATTTTTATTTTTATTGGTTTCTGGAAAATATATTTTAATTTTAGTGCCAGTGTAATATAATAAATGTTAATTCATAAATAAAAAGGAACACTAATAGTCTAATTCAAAGTGTAATAATATATTCATAATAGAAATGGCATGTCTACTGGCAGGGCTGACTCGACCTGTGTCCGACAAGCACTTGCTTATGGCATCAACGCTGTGTGGTTACAGAAATTATCTCCTTTCTTGATTTGTCTGATGAAACAATATGCTATAAAAAATATTTGAAGTTTACAAAGTACAAACATTCTTTCTTTCAGAACAATATTTATTTTTATTTCCATAAACGCAATGTATTTGAAGTTTACAAAGTACAAACATTCTTTCTTTCAGAACAATATTTTTTTTTATTTCCATAAACGCAATGTAGCTTACGCTTGTTAAAACGATAACAATAACACTCTAATGTACTTATATGTACACGAGTCCCGCAGTGGACTGATCGTTAAGACACGGTTCCCAGCAGATCACCGAAGTCAAGCATCACTGGCTACGGTCAGTGTGCGGGTGGGTGACCACTTGGATCAGTCTGCGTAGGGACCGAGGGTGTGCGGTATTGGT